TACAAACCCCCAAACAGTAGATTAGAATCTCATTAGATTATATTTACCTCCGGCTCAGTGAGGCCAAATTCCTCTTTAAAGTTGAACACCTCCACTGATTCAGGATTCACAGCCTCGATCATCTTCTCTCCGCGGAGGACCACCCTGCAGCACAAGAAAATGGGAATGTGTTGGTCATCACATGATATTAATTGAGACGTTCGGGGACGCTTGTCCTTCATAACATCAGATGAAAGTCATACACTTTCACTTTAGACCCTCAAGAAGTGTGCCAAATACATCAGCAAATCATAATACACTAGTAAAACTCGATGAACTTCTCACAACTTCCAGCACACTTCCTACTAAGGCTATATACACCAAGGTCATGGGTTCGATTCTCAGGGAAAGCATGAACTGGAAAAATGTGTACCTTGAATGCAATACAAGTCTCTTTGGATAAAAGTGCATGCTAAATGCATAAATGTTAATGTAACCTGACCCTAAAATCTGATTGGCTAATAGAATGTTGTTCCAAGACCAACAAGGTTGTCAGTTCGTGACCTTATCATAGTCGCCAAGTCAGATTTATAGAACAAATGCAGTGTATCTGTCTACCTGTCATAAGCACATTTGGTAGATGTCTTCACCGACGTGTCCAGCTTGTCGCCCGTCAGCCACACAAACTCAGTTTCCGAGCGCAGACGGATGTTCACCCACTGTCTCTTTGGAACGTAACCGCAGGCGGCGTTGAAATCCCCCATGATGATGAAGTTCTGACAAAATTAGACCAGATGAAAACTGAGTGAGGAAACAAGAACTCAGAGGAAACCAGAGACGCTTTGAGAGTGAAACCAGGTGCACAGAAGACCATGAAGAAGAAGGAATTTGTTTGGCAGGTGTGCTTAGAATACGAATATGTTGCTATTCTATTATACAGTATGTGAAATAGATTGTTGAAGCAGTGAATATTATATAACCCAGTATGGCAGACATCAACCCAGCTAAAAGTTATGAGCAAACATTCTTTCAGTAGCATTAATGAAACTTTTGTTCAGAGTTATCTGCTCTTTAATAATGTTAATAGCACAAAACATTATTTATACATCATTCACGGAACGTTTTATTTGTAATGTTTTAGTGAATTTTTATCAGTTTCTTTTAAATATTAGCTACTACTTGTTTCAGAATGTTCTTTGAACATTTAAAAGCAGTGTTGGGTGTAACGCGAGTTACGTAAACAGATTACTTTCTTCAAGTAACTAGTAAAGTAATGCATTACTTTT